TTCCATGGAACATTACGCTGGCAGTTTTTTTACTTTCCGTATATTTACCTGCGAGACCAGTCCTGGAACGTTCTTTCGAGGCAGCTGCTATTTTGACGACGCAACCTTGAGAATTAGTTCGGACCAGCGCGACGTGGCGTCTCATCATTGGTTGAAAATCATTGTCACGCGCTTTCTTTTCCGCTTAAGTACGCCAGAAATTCTCCCTCCTTCTTCCTCATCCCAGAACTCGCCGTCTCGAGAAAAGATGGTCAAGCTTGTTTGTGCGATCGTTGGTGTGGCTGGAAGCGCTTTCCCTGTGGACATCGACGCGAGCCAGCTGGTGGGAGACTTGAAGAAGGCGATCAAGGCGGAGAATGCAATGACTTTCACGGGCGACGCCAAGGACCTTCAGCTCTTCCTGGCAAAGAAAGACGGCGCCTGGCTGAAGTCGAAGGATCCTGCCGTGATTGCTATGCGGAGTGGTGTTATTCCCGAGAAAGTAAAGGCACTGCTGGACGTGGAAATGGATCCAGCAGACGAGATTGGTGACTTGTTTGGTGATGCTTCGACGAAGAGGACGATCCACGTGCTGGTGGTGGTTCCAGATGGGGCTGGTGGTTCAGCGAGTGACACTTCCAGGATGGATCGTCTATTCGATAAGGTCGACAAAGTGTATGAGCACACTGTGCTGTCCAAGCGTACGCGATATGTCCACTCAGAAATGAACTCAGCCAAGGGAAACATCCTTTTGAACGATTTAAAAATTCGGATTTCGCCTGTGGACACAGTTAAATTCGCCGGTGGAGTTCCAACTCCAGCAAAGGAATTCAAGTGGAAAAGTGACCGTACCGAGGAGCAGCAAAAGGAACCTTATCGTGAGTACGTGGTAGCCAACATTGGCGATGTCTTGACGAATAACAAGCTTTGCGTGGTTGGTGTGGAAAAAGGCGCAAACATCCTCACCGTTGAAGTCCCTGGTCGCGCGTGTACCATCTTCTCGGCGATGTCATCCCAGTCGGCTTGAAGTGGGTCTTCCACGTAGACCCGTATAGTCTGAGCCATTGTCTTGACTGACCTCTTTTGTTGACCGTTGGCTTGTGGTCGGTAACTCAGCGTAGCTCTTGATCTCGACTGCATCATCTCGGGAGAACGTTTGGAATACTTCACTCATAAACCTTGGATCTCGGTCGAGCCGTATCAGAGACGGAGCCCCGAACTGCCTGAAGACGCATTCCTCAAATACCTTGGCCACTTCGAGTGCCCCGGTGTCATTCATAGCCTTAGCGATAACGAATCCCGTGAAGTGGTCCTGGAACAGCAGCAGTGCAGTATTGCCCCGCTGAGTTCGAGGAAGGGGAATCACGAAATCCATTGACACGACTTGGAATGGATGGTCTGACACCACATTTCCCGGCGAGTAACCTCTCAACTGTGGCTTGCTCTTACTGGTATTGCAGTCCTCGCAGGCCCTAAAATGTTTCACCACGTCGGCGTAAAGACCAATCCAGGAGTAGTCGGCCTTGACTCGGTGATAAGTTCTGACGATGCCCTGATGCCCTCCTTCGATCGAGTTGTGACAGTTATGAAGTATTTCGTCGACCATAGTTGACGGAATCACCAATCTCAATGAGAGGTTCGGCTCGCCGAGTTCGCCCAGTCGGCGAGCTTCATCTCGGCGGTATAACAGGCCGTCTTCGCTGAGTACAAAGACTTCTGCGACTTTGCCGGCATTCTGAGCTCGGCGCTGTGTAAGGTCCTCAAATTCGCCTCTCAGGTACGCTTTCAGATCGGCCCACCTGAGTTCTTCATCTTGTGCCTTCGCGATGCGTCGTCTCCGCTCAGTCTGTACTGTCACTGGATCAATGTCGTTGGCATTCTGAGCTGTCTGGGCTGACTCCATCTGTGACCTTACCTCGACATTTGGGGTCGTGTGGTTAGTCCGCCGAGTCGACGCCCTGCTGACTTGTTCGAATTCATCTCCACTGCTTTCAAACGCCGATTCTCCAGGATTTGTTGATATGGCTTCGTGATCCTGACTTCCTCCTCTTGCTCTAGCCGAGTCTTCATCCGGCTCGTCCTCAAAGTGAACTCGGCGTACTCGGCTACGAGTGACTGCCGTGACAATCGGGGTTTCCGCTGGGTTGTCTGTGGCGTACAGTTCTTCGGCTACTCGGTTAATCATTCTCAGTTCTGCTTTCCTATCCGTCCCGAGAATTACTCGTCCAGCTTTAGCTTCTAGGGCTTCTGTAGCGAGAGAATCAGCCGCTGCGTTATAATGTCGCGCTATGTGTCGATACCGGACCGAGTTGAGTTGCTTCGTGAGATCCTTGTGTCGAGCTAGCTCCACTTGCAACGTTTCCTTCTTGCATGTTATCACCCCCATGGATTGCTGGATTGCAAGCCGGGAGTCACCCACGATAATCAGATCGGTTATCCCTCGGTCAATCGCCGCCAAGACTTCATTGTTCATGCCGGTGTACTCGGCGATGTTGACTGTGGTCGACGACAGGTACGCACTCGCAGCAATCTCAATGTCCCAATTCGGAAGGCGTCATAGTATCCACGAACAACTGCCATACCCGCCGTATTTAGCCGTTTTCGCTGAGCCATCAAATGACAGCACGCATCCTGCAAAGTCAGCTGATATTCGACCGTATAGCAGCGCTGGGTCCATTCGAACTGTCGCCGAGCTCTTGGAGGGAGGCGCAAGGTGCTTCAAGGAATCGTCATCTCCGACGAGGAAGCGAAGGGAGCGAGAGCGACATGTCCGACGTGGACGATTCGCCAAAGTCCAAGCCGGCAGACGTCGCCCAAATCGTCTTCGACGCTGTGGACTACGACGAGTCCGACGACGACCTCAAGCCGCCGTCCGGATCCGACAATGAAAACTCCGACAAGAGCTCTGACTCTTCCGCCAAGGCCAAGACGCTGCCGGTCGTACGCCCAATCAACCTCCGCAAGATGCGAAAGGAGCGCCCCTGAGCCAGCGCGAGCGCCGTCGCCAGGAAGCCAAGATCAAAGCGTTCCTGATGAAGACCATGGATAGCACGCACGTTCGGCTGATCCAGCATCTCACGACTTCGTACGCCATCTACACGTACATCTGCAAAAAGTACGAAGGCGCAGCGCTCCATGGCGACCCCTACTTCACCCAGCACTGCTTGATGGAGATCAAGTACGAGGGAGGCTCAGATTAAACTGAGTTAGTTTTGAAGCTGGAGAACGCAATGAAAGCCGCGTCTGAAGCCACCAAATCGGTGATGGCCGAGAGCCAGAAGTCAATCTATCTGTTCCACTCGATGCCCAAGTCCTAGAAGAACGATTTCCGCATCTGGAAGGGCCAACGGAAGCACATCTTGTATAAAACCCTCAAGCAGAGTGTCGAAGGCAAGGTCCGCGACATCTAAGCTCAGGAACGATACACGCTCTCGAAGGGAACACCCAAGACAAGCGACACCAAGAATGAGCGTGCTCTAGTGGCTACCGGACCTTCTGCCCAGCGTAACGACACTCGTGGTGAAGATATATGCCCCTACTGTGACCGTCCGCGTCACAACATTCGTCAAAGTCGTGGCCTGCAGAAAGATCTGCGAGGTGGTCGAGTGAAGGCTGGCACTGTCTTCCTTGCCAACTTTGCATTCAAGAACACCGTGACTCGAGCGCATCCCTACCGCGGCTCCAAGAACTGAAACAAGGACGCCCCAACAGCAGAGGTGGTAACAACCACAGAGACAAAAACCGTGGTGGCCGTGGCGAGAAGCACAATCATGCGAATCGTGGCAAGTACCGCGGTCGTGAACAAGGCAACAATCGTCCGTTTAAATCCGACAATGACGACGACGGCGACAATGACTGCGAGAACTGTCGCAAGGTGTTTCATCAAGGCCGTCGCGATGTTGGTTTGATCGCAGTTGCAACGTCGATCAACGCACCAGTGAGCCAGGAAGCCAAGATCAAAGCGTTCCTGATGAAGACCATGGATAGCACGCACGTTCGGCTGATCCAGCATCTCACGACTTCGTACGCCATCTACACGTACATCTGCAAAAAGTACGAAGGCGCAGCGCTCCATGGCGACCCCTACTTCACCCAGCACTGCTTGATGGAGATCAAGTACGAGGGAGGCTCAGATTAAACTGAGTTAGTTTTGAAGCTGGAGAACGCAATGAAAGCCGCGTCTGAAGCCACCAAATCGGTGATGGCCGAGAGCCAGAAGTCAATCTATCTGTTCCACTCGATGCCCAAGTCCTAGAAGAACGATTTCCGCATCTGGAAGGGCCAACGGAAGCACATCTTGTATAAAACCCTCAAGCAGAGTGTCGAAGGCAAGGTCCGCGACATCCAAGCTCAGGAACGATACACGCTCTCGAAGGGAACACCCGAGACAAGCGACACCAAGAATGAGCGTGCTCTAGTGGCTACCGGACCTTCTGCCCAGCGTAACGACACTAGTGGTGAAGATATATGCCCCTACTGTGACCGTCCGCGTCACAACATTCGTCAAAGTCGTGGCCTGCAGAAAGATCTGCGAGGTGGTCGAGTGAAGGCTGGCACTGTCTTCCTTGCTAACTTTGCATTCAAGAACACCGTGACTCGAGCGCATCCCTACCGCGGCTCCAAGAACTGAGACAAGGACGCCCCAACAGCAGAGGTGGTAACAACCACAGAGACAAACACCGTGGTGGTTGTGGCGAGAAGCACAATCATGCGAATCGTGGCAAGTGCCGCGGTCGTGAGCAAGGCAACAGTCGTCCGTTTGAATCCGACAATGACGACGACGGCGACAATGACTGCGAGAACAGTCGCAAGGTGTTTCATCAAGGCCGTCACGATGTTGGTTTGATCGCAGCTGCGACGTCGATCAGCCAAACAGTGAGCCTCGCAGCCAAAGCCAATGTTCAACTGGACCCTTCCTGGACCATCAACTCTGGATGTACGCGCCACGTGACGCACGAATCCCACTGGTTTAGTGACATCTCCACAAGTGGTGGATCGATCACTCTGGGAGGCAGCAACCAGATCCCAATAGAAGGCTTTGAACGTGTTGTACTGGAAGTCACCGACTCCAAAGGCAACTAGAAGACGCTCGCCCTTTATGGAGTTCTGTACGCGCCACTACTGCAGTTCAATCTGCTGTCAGTCCCGGCTGCCGTGAAGCAAGACTACCGCTTCAGCTTTACAGTGTGCTGTACAGACAGACCAGAGCTTCAAGATCAAGGCGGCAATGGCGACCAACACTGATTTGTATCAGTTTCAGGCTCAACCAGTGGTGACCGCAAACGCCCTTGTGGCATCTTCACGTACATCTGCGAGAAGTACAGAGGCGCAGCGTGCCAAGGTGACCCCTACTTCATCCAGCACTACTTGATGGAGATCAAGTACGAGGAAGTCTCAGATTTAACTGAGTTCTTTCTGAAGCTGGAGAACGCAGTGAAAGCCGCATCTGAAGCCACCAAATCGGTGATGACCGAGAGCCAGAAGTCAATCTATCTGTTCCACTCAATGCCCAAGTCTTGGAAGAACGATCTTCGAATCTGGAAGGGCCAAGGAAGTACATCCCGTATGAAGACCACAAGCAGAGTATCGAAGGCAAGGTCCGCGACATCCAAGCTCAGGAACGATACACGCTTTCGAAGGGAGCACCCGAGCCAAGCGACACCAAGAATGAGCGTGCTCTAGTGGCTACCTACCTTCTGCCCAGCGTAACGACACTCGTGGTGAGGATATATGCTCCTACTGTGACCGTCCACGTCACAACATTCGTCAATGTCGCGGCCTGCAGAAAGATCTTCGAGATGGTCGAGTGAAGGCTGGCACTGTCTTATCTGCCAACTTTGCATTTAAAAACATCGTGACTCGAGAGCATCCCTACCACGGCCCCAAGAACTAGAAGCAAGGACGCTCCAACAGCAGAGGTGGTAACAACCACAGAGACAAACACCGTGGTGGCCGTGGCGAGAAGCACAATCATGCGAATCGTGGCAAGTGCCGCGGTCGTGAGCAAGGCAACAGTCGTCCGTTTGA